ACTAGGGATGAGAATAGCAGGACACGCATGGCTTTAGCATGGGGCATGCAACAATGATCATTTCTCGAACACTCAGTCGGTGCTTAGTCTTTTGAAAATGCAGCGAGCGTTGAGGTCGAAAAATACTATTGATTGATTACCTGAACAACATTGAGGTTTAAAAAACATAGTTGGCATTGAGGGCAGTCGTATTAGCTCTTGAACACAGCTGGCACTGAAGTAACTAGGAACTACGACTGTGGTTTCGAGGGTTTGACGATGGAAGGAAGGGGAGGGAATTGTAACAGTGGGCTGCCCAAGGATTTTGGTCAGCTTTTGGCAACATTTCGACAGGTGCGAGTGGTTTCCCAGTGACTTGAAGGAAGGTTGCAGAGGGTTTCCGGCAGTGGAAGGGAGTTTCTGACAGGAACCCGAAGGGTTGCGTGGAGATGGACCGTCATTGAAGGTGGAGGGTTATGGGATCCACACATGTGAAGATGCGTGTCAAGACAAGATGTGATGGCAGTTGTCAGGCGGCGTAATAGGGCTCGAGGTGATGAGTGTAGGATCTGTAGCACATGTGGGAGATTTTAACCCGAGCGGCAATTGTCTTTTGAAAACTCAGCAGGCGCTGAATTTTAGCAAACACAGCCGACGCTAAGCATTGATGAACATAGCTAGTGGAAGGCATTGGTAACCACTGCTGGCACTAAGCATTGGCAAACATAGCCGGTGGCAGGAGTTGGTAAACACAGCCGACGCTAAGGTTTAGCAGACACAATCGGCTCCAAGCGTTGAGTGCACAACCGGTGTTGGATTCCTGAAATCATAGACGACACTAAGCTTCTAAAATCACAGTCGACGCTAGACCTTCGTAAACGCAATCGGTACTAGGCTTCTGGAAACACAACTGATGCTAGACCTCTGACAATGCTATCGGCATTTAGCCATTAAGACACAGTCGCTGCTTATTCAGTGCCTTTAGAAATTTTCATTCGGGGGTGAATCCTTGAGCCCTTTATAATAGCTTAGTCTACCTACCAAATTCATGACATAAAGAACCTTCCAAGTGAAGGGGTCATCGTGACCAATGAATTTATTGGTGAGAATCTAGTTAGGGGAGAGCCCATTTGGCTGACATAGCCAGATGCAAGCCAAGTGGCCTCTCAGTGTCACTTTTATCACTAACCTAGTTCATTTTGAAGTTCAAAAGGATAATAACGACAATGTCAGTAATGAAGAAGGGGTGACTCTCCTTCATTGTATGCAAAGGAACATAGCTTCTGGGGAGAACTTGCTCACCGTAGGAAAGCGAATGGTGCAAACAAAGGGACTAATGTGGTCAGGCAAAGGTCTTCGAGTACAGGGGGAGCACCAATATTTAAAGCGATACTCTTCCTGGACCTCCAGAGTGTTGGTGATCCACAGAAGCATTCCTGAACGCACTTCTTTGCTAGCAACGGTTTAGTGCTCAGTTAGCTACTATGATCGGTGCTTCAATACTATCAAGGTGCTTCTCAAGACATGGAGCCACATCAGCAATACCTGGCTTCTTGGGCATGGGGAAGCAGAAATCTCCTTATTAGACATTCATTTCATCGGGGGCCTTCTGCTGATCGGGGCCATGTATGATGAGTTACTACCCCAGAACTCAGTCATCTTTAGTGGTGCTAGCTTGGCGAGAGAAGAGCCACCAACTAGTCTCCGAAAGGTTTTCGAGGTCTACCAATTGTTCCAAGCCCAGTCTAGCAATGGTTGGGTAACCTTCACCTAATGGGTGAAATTCTTTTGTGGGGACTACCTTGAAGGTGTTCGAGGTACTCCAAGAGGAAAAGGGAAGGCAGTTGCAAAGGGAATGTCTCCCATGTACCAATCTGAGACCACTGACGATTGTGTCTTCTTGGTCGCATATTTGTCTTTATTATTATGTAAGTTCGTGCTCCCTGAAGGGGAAGATGACATTTATCTAAGAACCTTCTATGTGGCCTACGACATGGTAAGAGGGCATGAGTATGGCCTGCGACATGGCAATATTTAACATGGCTTGGGGGCCATCTCTCGTGAAAAGGCTTACAAAGGTAAGGAGGGAGGCAATAACATTGTCAGAGGAGAAGCGTTCCCTAAGGACTTTAAGACTCCATTCCCCATCTATTATGTATATGAGTGGCTAGGGGCCTACTTCCCTGCCTCCTATGTCAGGAGCCACCGCTCAAGAGATAAGATATTCCACTTCTTGATGAAGATCGCTGGCCAGAAGGCTATCTTTCACAGCCCAGGGGAGGCTCGGAGCTTGTTCGAGCATGACTTCTCAAATATACATTGGATCCCATTCCCGGTTGGAAGCTTCACCGATCGTGCTTTCATTGATGAGTTGGGTAAGGAGCTAGACGGTGCTCTCACAACTATCAGGGAACGGATGTTCATTTTGAGTGTTAGGGGGGAGTTTTACCTTATCGGACACCCCGAACAGTACCAGATTAGAAGGGTACTTCCCTCATCACTTTGCTCGTCAGCATGGGCTTGATCAGAGCTGCCCGTTCCCTATGTTTTTTGAAAAGCGTCGCAGAAAAATAAACATGGGGAAGATAAAAGAGCTTGGGACTCTTCAAGAGTGCTGGTTTCTTGAAAACATACAGACCACTTGGTCCACGTGTCTAGAGATGATTGAGATTAACAAGTATGTGTCACCTCATTTCGACAGAAGGGTCCAGGTGACTGACGCCTAAGCAAATTGGTGAAGAGTCACCACTCGAGGATACTAGGATGCTGATCACCCCTGGAAAGGGGAAAACGACAATTGACGTCAGGAGACTAAACAGAGGAGACTGGTGGATAGTCCTGATGTTGGCGAGGTATTTTTCTAGGGATATCATTTGAACTGAGAGGCTCTTGAGCTTCCTCAAAAGATAGCGGCTGATGACACCTCGCCGCAATTTCTTTCCATGAAGAAAAAAACTTGGAGCATCTTTGATAAAATCTGTTCCATCTTCAAATGGAGTGAGTGTTGAAAGGTCCTAGGTCATGAGGGGTGTCCCATTTAGGACTTGAATGCACTGATTGGGAGTGATCCTCACAGTAAACTAGCTGTAGGTGTTTGAACACATTTTTCAACACTTTGGTCCCTAAGGCAGAATAAAGAGGAAGCCAGTCAATAAAGCCTGACAAAACAGTGTAATTTTTAATAGTCTCATAACAGCCTTAGAACTGGTTGAGATCTTCATAAGCAATCCAAAAGGCACCCTGCTATGTTTCATCACATTCCGACATCTCTAAGGCAATGAACACAAAGAAACAATTTCAAAAAAATTAGCTCTAACACCTTGAAATAGATACTGTAACTGGAACTATATTTTCGGTGTATCAAAATGCTATGGGACTATTGCCATTAGATCCGACATGATAGAAAACCCCTATGGGTCAAGTTTCATCTTAATTGGACACTCCAAGACAAAGTTGTAAGTAAAACATTAAAATAGGAGGAGCCACACAGTATTCCCGTGTGGCCACTTTGCACCAAAATACGATTAAAGGTGACTGTTTTCACAGTCACAGGTAGTAACTTCTGGGGCCCATATATCACCCGCTCCAAGTCGGATTGCGGTCGAATTTTGTGAGCGTGTTCGTCTCGTCAAAATGAGCGTTTCAATATGTGGTATGCCCCATGATGACACCTGAGCAAGGAGAAAAGCTAGAGAGAAGTTGCCAATTTGTGAAGAAGTTGCAGAAAATTCAGCAGTGACATGCCTCACTCAAACGACCAAATTGCGGTGCTCGCACATTGGATCAACGCGAAACCAATTCCATCATGCGCATAAGGTACAGGGCTACCATTGGTGCAAACCCTGTACATGATGAACTGTTGGATTTTACACATAAAGGCGATGAAGTGGTTGTAAATTCGGGCCGTTGGATTCTAAATTCCAGTCAAAATGTAAAAATTGTGAAATCTTCGTTCGGGCTCCAAATCAAGTCTCTTTTGTGGGCACGTGATCGTGACAGCATGCTCAGTGCACTACCATTAAGAAATCATGAGAAAAAAATCAAGGGAGCCCACTATCGATCCAAAGTTTTTAAGATTCATCCAAATTTCAAGTCTCATGATCGTGACCTAAAAACAAGATCCATGGCTCGAAGTTGGTATTATATTGATCACCATGTAGAGCCCTACAAGAAAACAATCATCTTTCAATCAAACAAGCATTAGAGCAACCCTGGATCAGTTACGAAAGATCACGCAAGTTCTCGGGCAGCTACAGGGACTGTTCTAAAATTTCATCTATTGTTAGGCAGAGGCAAAACAATCCTTTTACACCCTATTTTTTTAATTTTATTTAATTTAATTAAATTGTAATTATCATCAATTAGGTTTGTTTTTGGGTATGCACCCATGTTTTGGCCCAATTCTAAATAAACATGCAAGGCCTAATTGTAAAAGGACCTTTGGTTCATTCTTGAAGCATTCAATAAAGATTTCAATTTTTACTTAAGTTTGTGGGTGCATTTTGGAGAGAGAGAGAGAGAGAAGAGAGAAGAGAGAAGAAAAGGGCTGATACCTCTCAGTAAGATAATTTCTCTCTTCTCCTCTTTGTCTCTCATCTCTCTTTATCTCTCTCTTTCTTCTCCTTTCTCTCTCATCTCTCTTTGTCTCTCCTCTTTGTCTCTCATCTTTATCTCTCTATTTCTTCTTCCTCCTTTCTCTCTCATCTTTATCTCTCTTTCTCTCTCTTCTTTTCTCTCTAATCTCTTCCTTTCTCGTTCTTACTTTCATCTTTATCTCTTTGTCTCTCTTCACGTCTCTCTTTCCCTACTCTTCTTTCTTTTCTTTACTCACCCATGGTGGACCTCTTGCCGGGTGTGATGTCTTCTTGTTTTTTAGATACAAACAGTGAGTCAAGCCTTAACCGGGATGGCGGGCCAAGCCTTTGTCAAAACTCTTTAGTCTCTCTTGTGTCCCAGATGGTGAAGTCCATTATCGTCTGTGCTCTATCTCTTTCTTCTTCTTCTAACACAGCAGGCGAGAGCTAAGCGCCGCTTGTGTCTTTTTTCCCTTCTTCTTCTAACACATCCGGCGAAGGCTTAGTGCCATCTGTGTCTTCTCTTTCGTCCTCTTCTAACACAGTCGACGAAAGCTTAGCACCACCTGAGTCTTCTCTTTCTTCTTCTTTTAACACAGCTGGCGAGGGCTTAGTGCCGCCTATGTCTTCTCTTTCCTCTTCTTCCACCACTACCGACGAAAGCTTAGCGCTGCTTGTGTCTTCTCTTTCTTCTTCTTCTACCATAACCGGTGAAGGCTTAACGCCACCTGTGTCATCTCTTTCCTCTTCTTCTAACACAGTCAGTGAAGGTTTAGCGCCGCCTGCGTCTTCTCTTTCCTCTTCTTCTAACACAGCCGGCGAAATCTGAACGTTGCTTGTGTCTTCTCTTTCTTCTTCTTCTAACATAGCTGGTGAGGGCTTATTGTTGCCTGTGTCTTATCTTTCCTCTTCTTCAATCACAATCAGTGAAGGCTTGATGTCGTCTATGTCTTGTCTTTCTTATTCTTCTAATACAGCCAGCGAAAGCTCAGCGCTGCCTGTGTAGTCTCTTCCCTACCTTCTGTCATAGTCGGCGAAAGCGCATCACTGCCAGTGTCTTTTCTTTCTTCTCCCTATTCATCATAGCCGGCGAGGACACAGTGACTTCTGAGTCTTCTCTCTCCTTCTCTCATTGTTGTCTGTCTGTCTTTACCTTTTCTTTTCCTTTTATCCTCTCTCACGCTCTTCTTCTCCTTTCCTTCTTTTCTCTCCTCCTTTCTATTCTCTTATTCTTCTCATATCTTCTTCTCTTCTCTCTCTCTCTCTCTCTCTCTCTCTCTCTCTCTTCGATCTCTATTCTTTCTTTTATTCTTTCGTTTGATTAAAAGGAGACTAGCCTTCCATGGTAGTCTTGTCATTTAGCTGTAATGTTATTGTACCAGTCAGAGTTACTGTGCCTACTTTATCGTCACGACAGACTAGATATTGTGTTTAGTTAGTAGATATTCGTACTGTCGTCTAGTAGCAATTCTGTTGAGCCGGTCTGAGTTATCGAGCCCGTTTTACTGTCACGTCGGGTCAATTAGTTACTAGTTTAGTCACTGTGTCGGTCTCACCGTCTGGTAAAATTCTTCTAACGCTAATATTTCTTCACTTCCTCTTTTTAAATGTGCATGCTAGAGTACGTTCCCCAAAGGCAAGGTGGGGTCCCTTGACCCAATTGTCGTGTAACATTTTCCATATGTATGTGATTATCGAAACAGAAGAATACAGGCCAAGGGAGGTGATTCTGATCTAGTTTTACGACTGGGTGGATTCTTTTGTGATCTAAGAGGGTGCCCACATGAGCTAGCCTGAGCAAGTCTCGAACCCACCTTAAATACTTCTCTCATCGATTGCTCTAGCGGCCCTTTTTTAAGGAAGGTTCTCGAGAGAGCGATCTCAAGTCTCGGGTTCCCTTGAAACCTGAGACACGTTCCACTAGATCATTCAAATCTAGAGGGTGAGATCGAGGCACATAACCAGCTTGGCGACTCCACTGGGGACTTACTACCTCTCAATCGGATCGTACTTGTTTGACTAGTTTCTACTTTTATATTTTGTTTTTCACACTTATGACTTCTGGGTTCTCAAAATCGTTTATCCAGATCGGGGACTTTCTCATCCCTGCATTCATGAATGTCCCCAGCATACAAGTTCCACCAACTTTGTTCCCAACCTTCCTTTTGAGTAAAGACCCCACGTTTAACTCCCAGGTCCTAACCTGGATAAGTATGAGGTGGGACTTAAAGGTCCCTCACTCCCCATCTCCTCGCTCTGGTGGAACCTCCACCAAGGCACCCTGCATAAGCGGCACCCACGCCATCAATCAAAGCATGATGCAGCCTGTTACCGGCAAGTCACTTGTCGGTCGTATTGCTGAGGTACGTCGGAAGACTGCCCAGTCCCTCTCTGCAAAAGAAAAGCAAGTTGTCGTTGCTTCTGTGGGTCGCCGTAAGGTTACCCCTTATACTTCTGCACCACCACGAGTCTCTATCCCTAGAGGCTCAACAGATCAAGGCGAAGACCCTGGGGCGTCCACCTCTAACACACAACTTAAGGCTCGTGGGCCTCCCATTCGAGGAACACCTCGAGGCAACTCTCATATTGCCTCAAGCCAGTGTCTAGGACCAGGCCTCCTTAGGCTAGGTCTTGTACACACTATGAATGTGCATCTCACAACTCGGGGCAAAGCCGTCGCTACGTTGATCTTTGTACACAGGGGACGACCTCCTCATCTTCCTACTCATCACACACTAGCGCACCCTGTAAGGGTTAGGCTTCAACCCGTTTCCTTGCAAACATCTGCTCGTGATTTTTGACGGTTTGAACGTATTTTTGAACACCTTGTTCCCTGATTAGGAATAAGTAGGAAGTAGGTCAACAAAGCCTACAAAACCATGGAAATTCTCGACTCTCTCATAATACCCCCATAATTGGTCAAGATATACATCAGCACTTCAAAAGACCACCTGCCAAGTTTTATCACGATTAAATATGTCTAAGGCAGTGAACACAAAGAAATAATTTCAGTGAAAACTAGAGACATAGGTTTGATGCATTAAACAGCAGTGGGACAACTGTGATTAGATCCGGTACTGTCGAAAACCCCTATGGGTCACATTTCGGCTTAATCAAGCACTCCAAGACAAAGTTATGGGTAAAATACCGAAAAGGAGTAAGTCGCATACTATTCCCGTGTGGCCTCACTCCACCAAAACACCATTAAAGGTGGTTGTTTTTACAGTCACGGGCAGTCACGTTCGGGGCCTTTATCTCACTCGTTCCAAGTCGAGTCGCTCCCAAATGTGGTGAGTGTGTTCGTCTCATCAAGACGAGCAATTTGATACATGGTATACCCCGTGATGACACCCGAGTAAAGAGAAACAGTAAATAAAATTTGTTGATCCATGAGGGAAGTTGCAGAAAATTCAGCAGCAACACGCTTCAATCGAGCAACAAGATCACGATGCTTGCATACCTGATCGACATGAAACCAATTGAATTATGTGCGTGAGGTATGAGGCTATCTCTGGCCCGAACCTCGCGATGATGAACGGTTGGATTTCACACATGACGGTGTCAAAGCTGTTGTAAATTCTGATAAAAAAAATCAAGATGACAAAATCTTCATCCGGACATGAAATCAAGCTGTGTTTGTTGCAACGTGATCGTGATGGAATGCTTAGTGTAATTCAATGAAGAAGTCAGAAATAAACATCAAGGAATGAGCTTACAATCGATTTGAAGCTTTCAAGATTCATCGAAAATTCAAGTCTCATGATCATGGTTCGAAACAAGATTAATGGCTTGAAGTTGGTATAAAAACGATCGCCATGCTGAGCCCTACAAGAAAAAATAATCTTTCGATCAAACAGGCATCACAACGACCCTGGGTTAGCCCTGGAAGATCACGTAAGTTCTCAAGCAGCGCAGGGACAGTTCTGAAATTCCACACATTGTTAGGTAAGGACAAAACAATCTTTTTGCTCCCAATTTTATAATTTCTTTAAATTCAATTAAATTGTAATTATCTTAAATTCTAGGTATTTTTTTGGTGTACACCAATGTTTTTTCCCAATTCTTTATAAACATGCAAAGCTAAATTGTAAACAACAACACAAGACGAATCCATTCTTATTGGATCAATCAATAAAATTATAATTGTTTGCTGGAGCCCGTGAGTATGTCTTGGAGAGTGAGAGAGGAGAGAGAAGAAAATGGTCGGTACCCTTCAAGCAAGTAACCTTCTCTCTCCTCCCCTCTTTCTCTCTCCTCACACTTTCTCTCTCCTTCATTCTTTCTCTTCTCTATCACTTTCTCTCTCTTCTTCTCATCTCTATCTTTTTCTCTTTCTTCTTCTCATCTTTGTCTCTTTCTCTCCCATCACAACTGGTGTAAGCCTAACGCCGGTTGGTTCGCCTCTCTCTCCTCTCTTTCATTCCCAGCACCGGGTGGGGCTCTCTCTCCTCTCTTTCATTATTAGCATCAGGTGAGGCTCTCTCTCTCCTCTTCTTTCAATCCTAGTGTCGAGTGGGATTTTATCTCTCCTTTCTTTCATTCTCAACACTGAGTGAGATTTTCTCTCTCATCTTCTTTCATTCCCAAAACCAGGTGGGGTTTTCTCTCTCCTCTCTTTCATTCTCAACATCGGGTGGGGTTTTCTCTCTCCTCTCTTTCATTCCCAACACCAAGTGTGGTTTTCTCTCTGCTCTTCTTTCATTCCCAATGCTGAGTGGGGTTTTCTCTCTACTCTCTTTCATTCTCTACAACGGGTGGGGTTTTCTCTCTCCTCTTCTTTCATTCCCAACACTAGGTGGGGTTTTCTCTCTCCTCTCTTTCATTCCAAGCATCAGGTGGGATTTTCTCTCTTCTCCCTTCATTCACAGTGTCGGGTGAATTCTGCTCTCTTCTCTTCTGATGCAATTGACAAAGCCTAGCTCCGGCTTTATCTCTCTCCCTTGCTTCTCTCCCATCACAATCGGTGTAAGCCTAGCATCGGTTGGTTCTCTTCCTCTTTTCTCTTCTGACACAGTCGGTGAAGTCTAGCACCGACTGCTTTTTCTCTCTCTTCTTCTAACACAATCGACAATGCCTAACGTCGACTGCATCTTCCTTCCCTCTCTCTCCTTTATCTTCTCGTCTCTTCTCTTCTTTTCTTCTCCTTCCTTCTGTCTGTTCCCTTCTTCACTTACTTCATTCTTACCATATAACCATCACTCTGCTACTCTTTCATTCGACTAAGAGGGATTGAGGGTAGCCTCTCATGGTAGTCTTATTGTCTACTATAACGTTGTTGTGCTAGGATTACTTGGCCCGCTTTATTGCCATGACAAACTGACCATTGTGCTTAGCTAGTCGGTATGGATAATGACGTCTAGTAGTAATCCTGTGAGCTAGTCTTAGTTATCGAGCCTGTTTTTCTACCACGTCCAGCCAATTCTTCACCAGCTTAGTCACTGCTATGATCCTCTCAGTCAGTCGAACTCTTCCCTCTCCCATCTTTCTCATCTTCTTCTTTTTGAATGCGCATGCTTGTGTACGTTCATCAAAGAAGAAAAGGGTGAGGTTTGACCCACCTGTGTTATAACCTTTGCTATATATGTGTGTGATTGCAAAAAATTAGAAGAATAAAAGCCAAGGGAGGTGATTCTGAACCAGTTTTATTACTGGGGAGCTTTCTTTGTGATCTAAGAGGGCGCCCACGTGAACCAGCCTGAGTACGTCTCGAACCAACCTTAAATTCGTCTCTCACCAGTTGGTAACACCTGCCCTCGTTCTATAACGAGTTCCCAAGAGAGCAATCTCAAAAACGTCCCAGGTCTTCCCTCGAATCTCGAGATGCGTGCTGCCTGATCATCCATATTCGAAGGGCGAGATCAAGGCAC